CTGAGGTTAGAGACGCACACCTCTGGGTGTTAGTGATGGGGTTCCAGAGAACATCAGCTACTGAGTGCTCTAACCTAATTAGTGGACCAGTCTCTACATGGACTCATAATACAGCGGCATTTTTGAGGTGGTAAAGGATGGAAGGCGGGGCCACTGATAGAAGGAAGTACATCACTGGGATGTAGCCCCCCCATGCCCTGATCTCTTCCTGCGCCAGATTTCTCTGCTTTCTGTTCACTATGAAGAAGCTCCTCTACCACACGCTTCCACTGCCTTGAAGTTCTGCCTCACAGCAGGCCCAGAAACATGAGGACAAGCGAACATGAGCTTGAGACCTCTGAAACCAGGAGAAAAGTAAGCAACTCCTCTCCTTAAGTTGTTTATGTCGGGTTTTTGGTGAAATGGCCACAAAAGGGTCTTAATGCAAAAATAAATAAAGGACTTGTCTCACAAAAAAGTGTCTAATACAGAGAGGCAGGCATGTTTTGAAGAGGCCATGGCTTCTATGGGAGAAACCATGCAAAAAGGGAAGAAGTGACCCTTGACAGTCAGGGTGAAGGAAAAGGCGAACAACAAAAGAAACAAGGTAGAATCATAAAACATGAAGAACCATGACATCAGGAAGGAGGGGAGCCCACCCTTCTCCCAGCAGCAAAGCAGAGCCTGCTGTCTTGTGTAGACTTCACTGTCCTGGGGGAAGAGGATACCATGAAACCAAGAATGTTGTCAAACAGCCAATAGCATATAAATGAACTTCAAGAGAAGCCACCACACAGCTACTGCAGAGGTCAGGAATAGAAATTTCCCATAAACCAGCAAAGAATCCTAGTCCTTCAAATATCAGCATGAAGTAGGGAAAATTCAGTCCACACTCCAGCTGTTTGTGCTAGTTTCTTTGCCTGTAGCAGAATTCCCAAGACTAGGTAATGTAGAAGGAAAAGGGGTTTGTTTAGCTGATGAATCTAGGGACAGGGAAGTTCAAGGTCAAGTGGGTGAGTGGAGTAGGGGGCCTCTTAAGCTGCACCAGAGCATGAAGACTCATCACAAGGCAGGTGCCTATGAGAGTGGGTATGGGTGCACAGAGAAAGGGAGTGGAACAAAGGATTCATCCTCTCTAGCAATCTGCCTGGAGAGTACCACTTCATTCTCAAGAGAACTAATCCAGTCTCAGAGGGTGTTAATCCCTTTTGACCTAATGGCCTCTTCAAGACTTAATTGCCTATTAAAAGCCCACCTTCAACACTGCTACTGGGACAAGCAAATTAGAGTCTGAAAGCTACCTGGCATGATCCTATAGAAGATGCTGGAAGACAAGGATAGAAATAAACTGACAGAAAACTCACCATGCTAAGCACACTTAATGAAAGATTATTTTATATACCATGGCCAGGGAAAATCATTCCAGGAGTAATGCAAGGTTGGTTTGCTGTGAGGAAGTTCACTAATATCATGAACTGTGTTAATAGAGCTACTACAAACTAATACTATCCCACAGATACTGAAAAATCCATTGAAAAAATATAATACCATGCACAATTTTAAATAATCAAAAAACAGAAATGACTTTTTTTTTTTTTTACAAAAATGTTATGTGTCTGGAGCTGGACATGGTGGAGCACTCCTGTTATCCCAGCACTTGGAAGGTTGAGGCAGAAGGATGGTGAGTTTGAGGCCAGTCTAGGCTATCCAGTGAGACCCTACCTCAAAAAAAAGTGCTACATGACACAGGTGCACTCACATACCTGCGGGCAATACACTTATACACATAAAATAAAAATAATAAAATATTTTTAAAAATGGTGTCAAAGTTGAAAAAGCAAATATCAGTGGTTGCCTATCCTTTATGTGGGAAAGACAGATGTACAGATTTGTGTGGCCAGCTGGCACAAGAAACAAAGAATAACCTAGAAATCATACCGAAGTTACTTTGTTAAGGGCAGAAAGGAGTGAGAGGAGGGAGGGAAGGGGAATGGATGGGAACTAGGTAGGCGGGAAGGGAAGGGCAACACTTCAGAGTATCTTTCTTACTAGCTTTGACACTGGGTGATGTGTCTCCCATTCCATCCAAAATAAATAACAATTACTTTTAATGGGTGGACCCAAATGGACTATAAACTAGTAACAAGTGAACCTAATTGTGTTGCAAATAACAGTTCTGTAGGCACACTGGGGGTTGGAGATGTAGCCCTAAGCAAGAAACTGAGATACAGTGTGCTGAGTGGATGCTAAAAGGCTGAAGATGAAAAAATAACGGGTGTACTTCCGAAGTCAGAGCAGGGATATGAACTAGCAATTCTGTATGGTGTATGTATATCAGAACTGAATAAACAGGTAAATATATTATTGATTCCAAGGATCCCATTCTCTGAGGAGCAGACATTAGGTGTATTAGAAGCAGAGGGCCAGTGTACTTAGATTGGTGGTTTTTATGTGTGCATAGAAATAGGTGGACATGCATATGTGGGGTGGATGTGCAGCTGTCTCCCAGCTCTGTGCTTAGGAGGTAACAAGTGAAAAGTACAGTTCCAAGCACACCCCATGCCCAAGTGAGGGTTTCTAAACACCACTATCCATTGAAAGAAGCCAGGGCTCACTGGCGAGGCAGCAGTGCCAAGGCTGGGACAGGACAAGATGGAGATGATGATGTGCTCTGAAGAAGATTGGGCATGCGTCAGGACACAGACTCTAGCTGAAGGAATCTCCAGCCCCTGTGGCTGGCACCGCAACACCTTGAGCAGCAGAGTCAATAATGATAGTTTCTGGATTGTGACCCAGAAAGTCAACTGAGCACACAGGAACCCACAGTGGTACATCTGTGCCACTGAATAAGTGACTAAGCGAAGTGAAGGGACAGTACATCCTTGCAGAATCCCAGTGAACAGACGAGAATGGAAGAAGGGGGCACTACGTCATCCTCGGGCAAATACCACTGTGATCATGGCTACAAGTGCAGAGCTTTGATGGAGGCAGACCAAAGGGGACTCATGACTAGAGCAGGATCCTTTATCATCTCGACACCGCCCCCCACCCCCAAGAGAAGAAAGCTTCACCATGGAGATGCCCTGCAGACACCAGTCTTGCCAAGAACTAGGGGCCAGCAGCAGCAGTCTCTGATGAGTAACAGGGATCCCCAGTGTGTCTCCAAGACACACAACCCTTCCATGATTTTTTTTCCTGAAACTACATAACTTCAGGTTAATCATGGGAACACATCAGACCCATGTTGAGACCTTATGCAGGCTAGTGACCAGTGCGCATCCAAAAGTGAAGATCAAGAAATAAAGATTAAGGAACTGCTGCAGAGTCAGACCAGCAAGTACACTGTAGAATCCTGGGATAATGGAACAGAAAGGAAAAGGAAAGTGGTGGAACACAAATAAGATCTGTGGTTTCATTCACGCTACTCGGCTCGAGCCCAGGCATTAATACTGGATGCTTTCCTCTGAATGAAAGCCAGGAGCTCTGTGGGCTCTATTCCATATTGCAGTAAGGCAAGGAAGGGGATAAAAAATGTTAGGACTAGCTGGGCATGGTGGAGGCGGAAGCAGGCAGACCTCTGTGAGAGCAAGGTCAACCAGGTCTTCATAGAGAGTTACAAGCCAGCTGGGGCCACAGGGAGACCTGGTTTCAGAAACAAAACAGAAATACAGTAAGTGTTAGGATTGGAAAGAGAGAATAAAAACTTTGTATTTATAAACAACATGACTGAACATGTGGAAAACCCCAAAGAAACTTACCAAATAATAACACTAATAATAACAACAGAGTAATTCCTGGATTTACTAAGACCAAGAATAAAAGATCCATAAACACACACCCCTTGTCTTTTTTTACATATTAGCAACAAATACTCAGAAAGAGTACTACATAAAGACCTCTCCCAAACCAAATAAAAAGGACATAGACCTGTAAGAGGAGAGTGAGGTTAACAGGCTTGTATTCCTGTGAACATGAGCCCAGGAAGACACTCAGAGGTGAGATTAAAACCAGAGTCACTGAATACTTCACACTCACTGTAAGGACTAAACCTAAAGACTCAGTATTGAGTGTTGAAAAGAATATGGAACCCCAAATGTTGCTGGTAAGATGACAGAATGGCAGGACTACTTTTGAAGTCAGCATTCCTTAGGTGAAGTGTATGACTGCCAAATGCCCCAGCAGTTCCACCCTAAGCAGCACAAGCAGCCTTAATCTAAGATTTAGAAAAAATTGGACTAGAGCAATGGTTCAGCAGTTAAGATCCTGTACTGTTCTTATAGAGGACCTGAGTTCAGTTCCAAGCACCCATGTTGGGTAACTCGCAACCACCTGTAATTTCATCTCCAGTGAATCCAATGCTTCTTACCTCTGAAGGCACATGCACAGTTCCTGTTCTCACACAATGCACACACATAATTAAAAGTAATAAAATTGTTTAAAATAGTTTTTAAAATCCCATCCATGTTTGCCTAGAGTGCAGATGGATGTAGAGGTGGAGAGGTGACTAGAGGTGACAGGAATAGTCTGTGTCTTTATGGAGGTGGTAGTTGACTAAATGTGGACGTTTTCAGAATCCACTGGACTGTACTCTGGGTTTTTATTGTATACAAGTCGTACTGTAATAAAGCTCTTCTTAAAGTAAAAGCACATCATGTGAAAATCTTTCCACTATGTGCTCCTTTCCTCACATCCCGCTGTTCTAAGAGCCATTTGGGGGTAGACTGTACTGCTCTTGCTTAGCCTCAGCTGCTGCCCATCCTGGCCAAGATCTGCGTTTTAACAAGCCCCTCCTTCTTCATGACAGCAGGTAGCTGGTGGGTCTAGAGGAAGACCTGTAGGTCAGAACCCTCTGCTTAACCCTGACCCTTCTAGTAGGCCCTCACACACTCTTCTGATGGCCCATGTTAGCATGCAACCATGTGAGCAGGAGATCTGAGTGAAGACCAGCGCCAGCACGAGTGATACCTGCTGGATAAAAACACCGACAGAGTGAGCTCTGTGTCTATTTTTCTCCCCTCCAGGACCCGGATTGGCTTTCATTGCCTACCCCAAGGCTGTCACCATGATGCCCCTCTCTCCACTGTGGGCCACCTTGTTCTTCATGATGCTTATCTTCCTGGGCCTGGACAGCCAGGTGAGGGGCTGGGAGGGGAGGAAAGGGAGGAGATAGTGAGGGAAGGAGAAGGGAGGGGAGAGAAAGGGACAGCTAGATGAGGAGCTGGGAGGGGAGGGGACATCTGTGTCTGGTAAGGGGTAAGGCAGGGGAGGGAAGGGATGGGACAGGATGGATGCTGTTCTTAGGAGCAACTCCTGGGCCCCAGCACCACCTCCTGGCTCTGGGCATCAGGCCGCCCAGTAGCCCTGTCAGTTCCTCAGTAGCTTCCCAGTCACAGACGTGTCTGTCTGAGTCCCTCCACAACCTCCCCTTGTGTTCTTCACCCAGAATTCTTAATTCAAAGGTTGTGGGTCTTTGTTTGTTTGTGGGGGTGTTTTTGTTTTTATTTATTATTTTAGCTTTTAAAAAAATGCATATATATATATATATATAGAGAGAGAGAGAGAGAGAGAGAGAGAGAGACTGATACCTGCCATGGTGCACATGTGGAGGTCAAAGAGCAATTTTCAGGGGGTGATTGAGTCTCTTCTCCCACCATATGAGTCTCAGGAATTGAACTCAGGTCATCAGGCTTGGCGGCAAGCACCTTTACCTGCTGAGTCAGCTCCCTAGACCCTAATTCAAGTTTTTTTTTTAATGTCCTAAATTCTTTCATTCTGCTAAGTTATTCCTACCCAGAGGCAGTCCATGAAAAAGCAAGTCCTAAAGAGGAGCAAGCTGTGGCTAGTGGCAAACAAAGGTTCCCATGTCCCTGTCTCTACCAATCATCAAGGACCAAGGACCCAAGACAGTCCCTCTCCTCCTCTGCATCTGTGATAAGGTCACTGTGGCCTACCCCAGCCATCCTCTAGGTGCCTCCACAACTTCACTCACTGACTCTATGCCTATTAGTCCCTGTGGGCATCTGTCCATCCATCCCTCCCTCCCTTCTGCACCCTGCTGTTCCCAGAGCATTATAATGAGCTGTAATTGATCTACATGTCCTGTCCCCTGCTCCCTATACACCACCCTCCTTTCCCACTCTACTGCCCTCCATGCCTACTCCCCTTCTCCCCATTTCCTCTAAGCCTGATGCCTGTGGGCTCTCTCTGCCCCTCAGGCCTAGAGTGCAGCCTCTGCATGCTGCTGGACACAGCTGGTTCCCCAGAGCCCAGAGAACTGCTTCTAGCCAGGTTAGTGGCTAACCACCGCAGCATGTCCTGGCAAGTCTACACTGTGCAGAAGGGGAGGGGCTGCAGACAGGCAACCCTACTTTTGACAAGGGAAGGGGCCCTTAGCTGCCTGAATTAGGGGAAAGGACAGTGGCCAAGCTGGCCTTACAGTCCTGCTCCCATCCATGACCTTGCAGGAGTCTAAGCACCCGAGCCCTTGCTTATATGTCTATCAATCCAGCCACATTAGATTTCTCTCTGGAGCCAGAGCCCTTCCCCAGAAACCTCAAAGCTGCTCTATGAAGCTCCGAGTGTTTCTGCTGATAACCTGCCCTTCCATTGTTGGCAGAGCCTTTTGGGAACCAGGGCTTGGCAACTGGCACATGACAGGCAGAGGTCCTGCCTGGCAAGGAAGGCGGGGCTGCAGCCTGGGCTCAGCCTGTCACCCACTGAACTGTGCTCACTGGTTATGTGCTGCTCCTGTATGTGCCCAGGTCATGTTCTCAGCCAATCCTCTGATAATTGTGTGAGCTGAAGACCCCCGTTCATTGTCTTGGTTTTAAGGCAGAAGCCAGCAAGTCTTAGAGGTGCTGAGTGACTCACTGGGACAGGCACCTAGGTTTGCTTGCCTCCTGCCTGTACACTCCCACACTTCCATTTCCCATTTGCATCCTAAGTAAGCAGCCTTCCTTGAATCCCATCTCTCTCAGGCTACCCTGGAGGAAGGCTAAGTACACTAGCCCTTGCAGTGGATGCAGCGCAGCAGGGCCAGGGTTGAAACTCAGTTCTGAATATCTCCTCAGCTGTGTGACTTTAGCAGAATCACTGCCCCTCTCTGTACCGCATCCTCTTTGTACAACAAAAATTAAAACACTTTTTCTGGGAAGATAGATGTGAAACATAGACTATTAGGGGAGCAGGGCCTCCCCACATCATGACTAGCAAAAGCATCTTCCTGTGCAGTGCCAAGGTGGGGGACCCCTGTTAAGCAGGCTGGCACACAGCCAGCTCTGCTCCCCAGCACCTGGGTGACGGCTGGGGTGGCCCTCCATCCAGCAGAGGGCAGGGGATTGTCACAGTCCTACAAATCAGACACTGACCAGAGCCTGCCACCAGCAAAGCACTGAGCTCCCAGGACAGCCAGGACTCCTGCTTTATCTCAAGGACAAAGCCTGGGTCTCCTCTAAATCACAAATACTAGGATAGGAGGTAACAGCAGTGTGAGGGAAGAGACATAGACTCTCTAGACTGTGCTGAGTGACCCTGAGCCCTCGATTCACCTCTCCAAACATCTTTTTCCTGGTCCATTAAATGGCCATACTGGAGTTAGTTGGTTCTGGTCTTGCCCATCATTGGCAAGAAGGAATGCGAGGATGGAGGGCAGGCCAGTGGGAAGGATGCCTAGCCTACTGTATACACACTCACCCAGGGCATCAGAACCAGCCTTTTCCTGCTTCACACCTTGTGTCTCTCCCACTAGTTCGTGTGTGTAGAGAGCCTTGTGACTGCCGTGGTGGACATGTACCCCAAAGTCTTCCGGAGAGGCTACAGGCGCGAGCTGCTCATCCTGGCCCTGTCCATCATCTCTTACTTCCTAGGCCTTGTAATGTTGACAGAGGTGAGTGACGTCATCAGTACTGTATCCAACCCCAGCTCTGAGACCTCAGGCCCTGTGACCCTGGACCGATTTGGAACTTTCTCCATGACTTGGACACCTACTCTTCCTATTGGGCTTCAGTGAGAATGAACACAGACTCTCAGCAGTCTCTGAAAGCAAGGTCTGTGCCTGTGTCAGTGCTAAAGTGGCTGCTGATAACAACAGAAAAGCACATATGGGGACATGTCAGGCTACCCCAGTGATTCCTCGGACATCCCCAGAAGGACCTTGCAGAAGAGAACGGTGTCAACTCTCAGCCCCAGAGCTGGTTCCTTGTGATGCCCTCAGGTTCAGCACTGGCTTTTCTGTGGCATCTCTAAGGACAGGCACCCAGGATGCTGTTGTGGTGGGCTTCGCCACAACCCTGAATTGAGGTGGTCCCCTAAACCACATGCTGCAGCCACGCTATCTCCATCCTGTGTCAGGTAGCACTAGGTGTCTTTCTCCTCATACGCAAAGAGATAATTAACTTGAGAAAAGGAAAAAAAAAACTTGCCAAGAGACAGGAAGAGGTTTTGTAAGAAATGGGGAGAGGAAGGAGGGGCCGGACTCAGTCACGGTAGCTGGGTGAAGCCACGGCCAGCCATCTCCCTGTTGCTCCTCCTCCACTTCACTTCGCCTCTGCTTACCTTCTGTCACCTCCCCACTCTTAGCCACTCTGTTCCCAGGTCACCCTCCTTTGCTCTCCCCCTGGCTGTTAAAAAGATCCATGGTCCACCTGTCATCTATCTTTACCCAGGCCTAGACGTTCAGGAGATCTGGAACCAGCCCTGTTCAGCCCCGGGTCCATGGAGGCAGCCTGGGGTGGGTGCTCAGTGCGAGTGACTGGGGTTATGGCTGGACCTAATCAGGGCCGCATTAATGAGAGTGATCATTGGTGTTTGAGCAAATGAATGGGGTGAATTCTATTTCCACCTCTTCCTACAGCCTTCCCCGTTCCACTCCTGTCTCCCCACACAGGGAGGACGGGCTGCAGTAAGCAGGGCCTCATTAGGCACAGCTTAATTACAGAGTGGAGTCATTTGTCACATACAAATTGGGGGGTTAACCTGATGCCTTGAAGAAGCTAATGGGAAGGGTTTTAAGAAGAATAAGAATTGGCAACACCATCACAGGTTCTTAGCACAGCCTACACCTGCTTGCCCCCAGTTCACAGAGCCTTTGCCCAAGGCCTGGGATCTGCTCAAGAGTGCATGGTGACCCTCAGGGGCCATGGAAAGCCAGCGCTGCAGCCCACTGAGACTGTTAATCAGCAGGCTTTCACATGCCAGCCCTCTACCTCCCTGAGAGGTATCCGTAAGCTACTGCTGGAAAACTTCTCAGTGGGTCCAATGGGCCATGTCAGCCTGGGTCGTCAGGGTAATTGCCTGCTGGATCTTCTCCCTCATTTACATCCAGTTAAGGCTCAGCTCTAAGGAAAATACAGGCCTCCAGTTTCTTTCTTCCACCACAGCAGTGTGATAAATAGTTAAGACTGTTGGCTGTGCAGTTTGATCTTCAGCCCCTCTACTAGCTGTCTGCTATCCTACAGAAGTGTCCTTGCCACTTGAAAGAGTTAAAGCAGAGCCTAGTACAGCTATCTATTCCTTAATGAGGGACTATGTCTAAGGAACTCATCGTCAGGCAATGGCACTTCCATGCAAACATCTGAGCAGGACTTCTTAAAATATTTTATTTATTTTTATTGTTAAGTGCTTGAGTGTTTTGGCTGCATGCATATAAGTGCACCTATGCATGTAATGCCTGCAGAGGTCAGAAAAGGGTGTCGGATCCCCTGGAACTGTAGTTAAGGACTAGTTGTTAGTCACCATGTGGGAACCAAATCTGGGTCCTCTGCAAGAGCAGCCAGTGCTCTTAATAACTGGACCATCTTTACAACCCCAGAGCAGATCTTAAACTTTGCCACTCATGGCCCCTTTCGACCCAAGAAATTTTTATGTGACTTTGGTTATATAGGTATATAAAATGGTAGGAAAATCAAACATTTATTGATAATAAATCATAAAGAAATTTGTTTGAAAACAATTCTTTAGTATAATTTCACCTTTCATCAAGACAAAAGCTAAGTTGTCTGCTAATGAGATGGATGTGCTTATTTTACATAAGGAATTAAATCTTGGCTGAATATTTGACACTATAGCACACAGGATGTCTTTGATGTTTTTAAGAGCTGATCAATATTTTTGTTTTATAGTCTCAGTGCTGAGAATGCTGTTCTTTATGCATAAACATGTACTAGAGAATGAAAGTGTGTTTAGGGTCATTTCAAAGATGACTGCACTTCTGTCCCAATCCCAAGCCAAATTCATTGAATGATCTTTTACAAAATTCAAGTCAGCAACTCAAACAGCAATTTTTAAAACCAAGCATTCTTTGGTGGGAGAGATGGCTCAGCATATAAAGGTGCTTGCCAGCAAGTTGGATGACCTGAGTTTGATCCACAGGACCCACATAGTGGAAGGAGAGACTCCCACAACTTTTAGTTTGACTTCCATATATGCACTGAGAGATGGGAGTGCACACACACACACACACACACACACATACACACACAAAATAAATGTAAAAAGAAAGAAAATCAAGCATTCTAGCAATACAAATGCAAAAACACACTAATTCATACATGCTGACGAATAACTATAGGAAAATACTGTCTACTTTTCCATAATCAAATCATTATGTTTCTGTAAAAGCAGAAAACTGTATGTATAGCAAAAACATACAACAACATATAGTAGTCTCAAACCACAGTTAGGACATTTCAGACAGCGTTCATTGGTGCCAAGCAGCATAATAGTATGCACAGCACAAAGGGTACATGTTGTGTGTTTAAGGTTGTGGTGAAGTTGTGCAGTGTAGCATAGGCGAGCACTGCCAGAGATGCCTTAGATTCATTACATATTTGATTTTCAGCTAATTTTGGTCATTGTACATTCAGCACACTTTTACTGCTGCCAAATTTTTGTGAGCCCCAACCACATTGATCCCCATGATTGAAGAAGCTGGGTCATAGAGCACACTTGCACAATGGAGCCAGATTACCAGGCCACTAGGGGATGCAGTTAGGAGACTCCTATGGCATATGCAGGCTGCTGATGAGTGAAGCATTAGTGTGTGGTCCACACACCCAGGCTTCCCTGGGTAGTAGTGAGTGTGATGTCCCACATTGGAGTCCAGTTAGGAAAGGTGTTTTGAGTTTGAACTCAGAAAACCAAACCCACTGCCAAATAGAGGTGTCTCAGAGCCATGCCTGAAGCTCACAGATTCTAATGTTCACTCGTGCCCTCACAATCCTCAGATCTGACTGGGCCCTGGGATCATTTGTCTTTATACCTTCTCTGTGTTCTTTAAAGCATGTAGACACCATCAATAATTTCTAAAAAGAGAGGAAAATTCCCTGTGAAAATCTTGATTTCTGATGCCCCCAAAAATCTGCAAATCAGGCCTCACAGCTATACCCCCAGTAACCTTGGTCAGAGCCATGTGCTCCAATGGGGAGTGGACTCTGTAGTTAGCCACAGTTCCCAACATGCCCTGTCCACTCATGACACCCAGTCCACTCCTCTCACTGGTGTTACCCTGGGGCCCTATCAGTATTGTGATATCACCCCACTATTTGGAGGAGACAAATGGGGGAACATGTCTCAAGCTATGATCTTTGCATGATAGAAGACAGCTCAGGGGACAGGGTGTTGAGGAGGGCTCTTGGTCCCCTGGTAGACACAGGAGACCCTGCAGCAGCATTCCAGCCATCTGTCCCACAGTTCCATCATTCAGAACCCCCTCTCCACAACACACACACCTGATCCTTCCTGGTGCTTTCACTTTGATTTTCCTGCATCTGTACCCTGCTGGGATCTTCACTCTGTCAGGAATATTTTCCTTACAGATGCTAGCTCTTCCCACAAACTGCAGCTGGCCTCTTCCTCCCTCACCCTCCCAAGTGCCCCCCATTCCTGGACCTCCTTGTTGGGCTGGGCTTGTACCTGAGTGTCACCATCAGATTTACAGTCATCCCTTCATATCCAGAACCAGCACACATCCACCTATGTTTTTCAATCATCCCTAGATTATTCATAACACCTAACACCATATAAAGACTATGTAAATAGTTACACTGTATTCTTTGGGGAATGATGACAAAAGCTCTGTTAAGGTTCTCTAGAGAAACAGAGCCATAGAATTGTATAGCGCATAAGAGGAGTTCACTAGAATGACCTACAGGATAGGAGCTGGGAAGTCCCAACAATGGCCACCTGCTCACTGGAGAGGCTGAGAACCTGGTAGGTGCTCAGTCCATGAAGCTGGATGCCTTAGCAGTTGCAAACAGGGAGTGGAGGCCTGGAAGATCACTGTGGAAGGCTAAGGAGGCTGGAGTCAGTGAAAGGTGGTGGTGGTCACAGAAGCACTTGCTTAGTAATGATCAAGGCAGGCATGCTTTTTCCTCAGACTTCTTTACATCTGGGACACTTGTTGGTAGAAACTGCCCGCTCAAGGCAGCCCTCCTCCCCTCAGTTAATTCCTTCAGGAAAACACTTCACAGACATGCCCAGGGGCATATCTCCCAGGTTGATTCTAATTCCAGTCAAGTTGACAATTAAGTCCAACCATCACAGGAACTGAACTTGTCTTATAGAGTGGACCCATAGTCAGTACTTATCAGTAAGTCATCCCAAAGATTAACTTTGTACCTTCTGTGTGTCAGCCCCTGAACCATGCTAGCCACTGTCCTGTCCCACAGAGTCCATAATCTGGGTGATTCTGCCTATGTCTTTCAGGGACCTACTTTGTGCTGGGCCCTATGCTGCAAGCTGGAGACACAAAGATGATTAGAGTGTGGGGTTTCCTGGTTGAGCTCAGGGCTCACAGGGCCACTAATGGAACACTTTTGGACTTTAGTTATAATATCATGCAGTATATTCTGGAGGCTCAAAGAAAGAGGGAGGCTGTGGGAAAGGACTTTTCAGAGGAGTTGACATTTGATCTGAGCTTTGAAAAAACTTTACCAAGTGAAAACTAAGACTGCCTTGTTGAGGGTGACTGGTGGGCAGGGGAGACAAAGCACAGGGGAGGACAGCAGCCCTGACAGGCAGCTTGGAGGGAGCCAAGGGTAATTTTTAGGCCTCAGCAAAGATTGAAGAGGGTAAGGCCTGCAGCAGGGAGGCCTGCTGGGAGATTGTAGGACCTGTCCACCTGAGGGAGGTTCTGAAGATGCCCACCCTCCACTCTGATTTAACATGGAGCTTCTGGGCCTTGGAGAGCTGGGGTCGGGGCAGAGCTGAGATTCTGCAGACCATCCACAACCCCAGCATCTCTGCAGGTCAGGGCCTTGGAACACCCAGGTGCAGGAAAGAGCATTGCCCTTCCCAGGCCAGCTGTTGACCTGCTCTTCATGTGTCTGTCTGTGTGTCTGTCTTTCTACCCACAGGGAGGCATGTATATCTTCCAGCTCTTTGATTCCTATGCCGCCAGTGGTATGTGCCTGCTCTTCGTGGCCATCTTCGAGTGTGTCTGCATCGGCTGGGTGTATGGTGAGCAGAGGCCCAGCTCAGCCCCTGGGACCTGGTGGGCTGTATCCATCTGGCTAACCTCGTCCCTCCTCTCCCCAGAGACTCTGGTCCCTTCCTACTGGCACAGGACCTTCCTGCTTTTCAACACAACAGATAGATGATCAGGGTCCAGAAGTCCTGACCTCAGGCCAGTTCTGCCCTGAGCCTCAGTTTCCCCCTTTGTGAAATGTGTCTCTAAGAGAGAGACTATAGGGCTGGCCCCAGCCCCATTCATGCCTCCTTCTGGTCCTCACACTAACCAAGAGCGAGAGCTGCTGTCTCAGGGACAGACAGAATGTGGCTTAGGAATAGCTGCTCTTGTTTACAAACAACCTAGCCAGGCCCACAGCTCCAGAACCCAGTTCCCTGTGAGTCACCCAGGCCCTTGCCAACCTTTCTCCAGAAATCCTGCTGTTTTCTGGGCCCAGAAAACAGAAAGTTCTTAACAGCAGGCCACAATCCCTCTCATCATAGCTTGCTTGGTACCTTGTCCATTGTGTTAATCAGTTTTGCATCACTATAACAAAATGCCTGATATGAGCTACTTATGAGGTAGTTATCTGAGCTCACAGTTCTTGAGGTTCAAGTCCAAGATCAGCTGATACGGTTGGTTTGGGCCTCTGGTAAAAGCCCCTCATGATGGAAATGCACATCTGACCAAGCCACATCTACCATTGCCCTAAGGAATCTGCAGAGCCTCCCTCCTAGAAATCCATAGTACTGCCTGACCCAGCCTTTACATATGGATACTCAGCACCCTATCTGTAGCACATGGTCATGTGTTAGGGCGTTGAATGCTGAGCAGTTTTTGTCTCTGGCTCAGGCTGGGGATACCAGGCCCTCCTCGCCTCTCCTCTGAGACATACTTGTATACTCATCCTCTTTCCTCTGAACAGGAAGCAACCGGTTCTATGATAATATTGAGGACATGATTGGCTACCGGCCGCTGTCACTCATTAAGTGGTGCTGGAAAGTCGTGACCCCTGGGATCTGTGCGGTAAGGCCTGTGGGAGCCACCTCAGCCCCTCCACTTGCTCATTTACTACTCTGTTTTCCAACTCCACAGCCAGCTCAACTGAAGCTGGCTCTAAGGAAGTTCATGTGTCCCCCTCCCCGCCCCCACAGGCCCTGCCAGGTGACACCCTGGGGAGCTGGTATCTCAGGACTGGACCTGTGCTTGCTGAGGCAGGTCCTTACTCCAATCTCTCTCATCAGGGCTTCCAATTCTATGCACACCAGCAGGACACTGGTCCTCCTCCCTAGGGTGAGGTGAGCAAGAGCAAGGCTATTTGTCACTGAGAAAGTAACAGAGCCAAGGGTAGCATCAGGTCTCAGGCATTGCCATGAAACCAGGCCACAGAGAGCCTTGGAGCAAAGAAAACCAGCCCCATCACTCTTTGTCCTTGTCTTTGGTGTTGGAAGCATTTGAACTCATCTCCCTAACCAAAGGGTTCAAATACAGCTTTGAGGCAGCCCCAAGACACATTCTAAGTAGGTAGAGGCTGGGGAAGAGCTACTGTTGGAGGGGTCAGGTGTCAAACCCTGGTAAGGCCCAAAGTCTCCTGGGAGTCTGGGCCCCAGGGCCACAGCCCGTGTTCTGACATGTGGGACCCGCTTTCTCCTTGGTCCTGCCTCAGACTCACAGTGGACAGGTGGGGCATTTGGGCCATCAGGCAGAGCTGAGGAGCACCACCAGAAACCCCCATCTACCTCTCCACAGGGCATCTTCATCTTCTTTCTGGTCAAGTATAAGCCACTCAAGTACAATAATGTGTACACATATCCAGCCTGGGGCTATGGCATTGGCTGGCTTATGGCTCTGTCCTCCATGCTGTGCATTCCACTCTGGATCTTCATCAAGGTGTGGAAGACGGAGGGCACACTGTCTGAGGTGAGTGACCAGTGGGAAAGATGGGGGGCCTGCTGCCCAAGATGAGTAGCTAATATGGAAGTTGGCGGGGCCCCTGCCCAAGGTGAGTGACCAATGTGGAAGGTGGAGGGCACGCTGCCTGAGGTGAGCTGCTGACAGTGGAGGAAACATGGTGGGTTCCTTTGTGGAAGGTGTCCATACTCACTGTGTGCACCTCTGTGAGACCTCAGGATTGAGCCAGTCACTGGTTTCTTCCTCAGTTATGAATTAGGCTCACAGCAGCCTAATTCATAGAGGTCATAAGAACTCTGGGAGTTCCTACAGAGAAAGCACCTAGTTCAGGACCTGAACCAAGGTGTAGCTGAATGTTAGCTGCCTTTATTCTGACACTTTGGGACCGAGGACTGGGGGCACCTGGGAGATGGGGGTACCTGTCCTGACATCACCATGCCTGAGACTCTAACCACCAGTGTCTTCTGTTGTTGTTAGAACAAACCAGAACAAGTATCATTTTCTGCATTTGACAGGAGACCTCAGAAATGTAGCTCAGTATTAGAACTCTTGTCTAGTATGTACAAAGCCCTAGGTTCAATCCCAGTACCCCATGCTTAAACACACACACACACACACACACACACACACACACACACACACA